CAGGCAGGGATTGACAGGGCCTGGACAGCAGACACGGACCGAGCCACTGCAGTAGAGACTGGAGGAGGCTCCTAGGGAGGAGCAGGGAGACGTCTTTGGACAGCAGTAGGCTGGACGTCGAAGGTAGGACTAGGCAGATCCCACCTGGCAGGGACCGGAGCGGTCTGAGTGGCAGGGCTGGACTTGGCGCCTTCAGCAGCTACAGACAGGGCTCCCGCATTATGGATCAACTGACATTCAGAGGTGTCAGCTGAAGTAGTGTTCTCCCTCACGGTGAACTCTGGTATCTCTTCCATCCCTGTAGAAGGCTGTAGGTCTTCCTGCTCGCGAAAAGGCAGGGAGTTAAGGATTAATCTTGGGTCCAGAACTGGGATCAGCAGAACCTCTGTCACTGGAGCCTGCGATGGCACAACTGTGGGAACCAGTTGAGACTCTGTGACAGGCGCTGGTTGAAGCACAGCTGTGGGAGTGGCGAGCTGAAGCTCCATGGCAGGAGCCGGTGTAGTAGGCCCCACTACTAACTTGAGCTTAATTGTCGGAACAGGCTGGATCTGCACGGCTGGGGTCGGCTGGAGCACAGTGGTAGGGTGCTCCGCCAGGGTGAGCTCTGGTAGCTCCTCTGGCCCTGAAGAAAGCTGTAGCACCGCTGTAAGGGACTCCACAGCAGGGGTCGGATCCGAGACCGGGGCTAATGGTGAAGCTGATGTGGAACGGCACTGCGTCTCAAGCATCTTCCGACGTCTGGCGTCAAAGAGCTGGTCGCGCTGGTGCCGCAGAACCTCATTATGGCGCTTCTGGTGTAGTATTTGTTGCATGATGATCTCTGAGATGATGTCATCAACTTCTTGGGCAGCTTGGTGGCACAGGTCCCTGTTCTGCCCCTCTAAGACGTCTTTCAGTTGTAAGAGGTGAGAACTGTTGAAGTACTGGCTGAGACGGTCAGGTGACAACTGGCAGTGTCCATCAGGTAAGTACTGGCAACGGTGGTCGGATGGACTGTAGGAATCTTCCATCTTCCGGACTGCTTCAATGAGCTCATCAATCTTGTCACACTGGCTGTGTAAACGCAGTGAGACCTCTCCGGTTGTCACTGGTGGTCCACGCTCAGGTCCACGCTGATCCCGGTGATCACTAGTCGATGTTCGACGCTGATCTTGGCGATCTCTGGTCGAGGTTAGCCTGAGGTGGGAACCTGGTAAATTAGCAACCAATGGAAAGGCTGAGGCTCTGTCCTCTATTCTGCTGGTCAGCCAGAGTGGTGACTTGGACCGGTGATGAGTTGTTGAAGGGGAAGAAGGCCACTTTGACTGCAGTATATCCCACCTCGAGTGTTCAAGAAAACCCTCTAGCTGCTCTCCCTCGTAGGAGTGGTATGTGGATGTGTGTGGTTGTCTGTGCCTTGACTCATAGCCATCGCTGTAATATTCAAGATATTGTGGCAGGTAAGCTGGTCGGCGCGGAAGGACCACATCTTGTGGAGGATATTCTCTGTTAACTGGCATCCTTGGGCTGTAGCAGTTACTTCCTGCAATTGTACAATTTTGCCATGGGGCAAAGAGAAACATTTGCAGTTTTATAGCTAATCTCATGCTTTCTAAACATTTTGCCATGGGGCAGAAAGGAAAATGTGCAGTTTTATAGCTTATCTCATGCTATTCTACACATTTTTGCCATGAGGCTGAGAGACAATTGAGCATTTTTAAAGCTTAAAATATAGGTGTGTTGACTGTGATAAAGGCACTGGATTAGGAGCTGTCTTGTTTGCTAAATTAACAAATGAAATAGACAGTGGCATGGTGCATATAGCCAGTGACATATGCTTCAATGTAGTCAGATTCATGGCTTATTGGGGGTGTGGCTTTCAGTAAGTTTTCTGTTCTGTTATTAGATGTTCCTCTGATTATTAGATGTTCCTCTGCTGACAACCCTGAGCAGTCGACGGATAGCGAACTCAGAAATTGAACGTGACAGAAGTGAAGAGGAAGAACCTGCCCCGACAGGTGAGGTGAAGGCTTCCGAGCCTCACCGCAATGATCAGGAAAATGCCAGCGATGACTCTGGCCCAGTGGGGGTACAATTTCTGGCCAGTACCCCATGTATATAGCCAAGTTACTGTTAGGCTACTCATTGTGTATTTATTCCTTGTGTTATTATTTTTCTATTATTCAAATTTTTTCTCTCTCTGCATCGTTGGGAAGGGCCCGTAAGTCAGCATTTCACTCTTAGTCAACACCTGTTGTTTACGAAGCATGTGACAAATAACATTTTAAACACTGTAGTGGGTTCGGAACAAAAGCTCTCACGGGATAACTTATATACCCTAGCATGACTTTATCTAGCAAACACTCTGCATCAAACTCAGAAAGACAGACAGGGTCTCAGTCTCGTGCTCGCCACCGGATATCATTTGATTGATTTGAGAAGGAGTTGGGTTCTGTCAATTCGGTCAAAGTATCCAGAAGTGGACTTGTGTTGATGTTTTGTGTGTCTGCTGCCCAGAGGGTGAGGGTGCTACGCGTTTCGCGACTCGGGATGAGAGCTGTGTCCTGCTTTGCTCTCCGGAGCAGAGCACCACTGAAAGGATTGATAACTGGGGTGGCGTTGAGTGTTGAGGTGGATCGAATGAGGTTGAGGATCCCCAGTGTCTGTGATGCACGCAGTTTGGTGCGACGCAGACCCAGTGGCAAGCGCGAGACAGACTGTCTGTCTTCTGAGTTTTGATGCAGAGTGTTTGCCGGATAAAGTCTATATAAAAAAAATAAAAATAAAAAGTTATCCTGTGAGAGCTTTTGTTCTTCTGAACTCACTGCGGTGTTTCAAATCAAATTGTATTTGTCACAGCGGTTGTATATTAACAGTGAAATGCTTACTTACAGGCCCTTCCCAACAATGCAGAGAAAAGGATAATTGAAAAATAATAACACAAGGAATACACAATGAGTAATGACAACTTGGCTATACGGGGTACTAGCCGATGTGCAGGGGTACGAGGTAATTGAGGTAGATATGTACATATACAGTACCAGTCAAAAGTTTGGACACACCTACTCATTCAAGGGTTTTTACTATTTTCTACATTGTAGAATAATAGCGAAGACATCAAAACTATGAAATAACACATATGGAATCATGTAGTAACCAAAATTGTTCAAATCAAAATATATTTTAGATTCTTCAAAGTAGCCACCCTTTGCCTTGATGACAGCTTTGCACACTCTTGGCATTCTCTCAACCAGCTTCACCTGGAATGCTTTTCCAAAAGTCTTGAAGAAGATCCCACATATGCTGATCACTTGTTGGCTGCTTTTCCTTCACTCTGCCATCCAACTCATCCCAAACCATCTCAATTGGGTTGAGGTCAGGGGATTGTGGAGGCCAGGTCATCTGATGCAGCACTCCATCACTCTCCTTCTTGGTCAAATAGCACTTACACAGCCTGGAGGTGTGTTGGGTCATTGTCCTGTTGAAAAATAAATGATAGTCCCACTAAGCCCAAACCAGATGTGATGGCATATCGCTGCAGAATGCTGTGGTAGCCATGCTGGTTAAGTGTGCCTTGATTCTAAATAAATCACAGAGTGTCACCAGCAAAGCACTCCCACACCATAACACCTCCTCCTCCATGCTTTACGGTGGGAACTACACATGCGGAGATCATCCGTTCACCCACACCGCGTCTCACAAAGACACGGTGGTTGGAACCAAAAACTCAAATTTGGACTCCAGACCAAAGGACACATTTCTACCGGTCTAATGTCCATTGCTCGTGTTTCTTGGCCCAAGCAGATCTCTTCTTCTTATTAGTGTCCTTTAGTAGTGGTTTCTTCGGAGCAATTCGACCGTGAAGGCCTAATTCACACAGTCCCCTCTGAACAGTTGATGTTGAAATGTGTTTGTGATTTGAACTCTGTGAAGCATTTATTTGGGCTGCAATTTCTGAGGCTGGTAACTCTAACGAACTTATCCTCTGCAGCAGAGGTAACTCTGGGTCTTCCATTCCTGTGGTTGTCCTCATGAGAGCCAGTTTCATCATAGCGCTTGATGGTTTTTGTGACTGCACTTGAAGAAACTTTAAAGGTTTTTGAAATGTTCCATATTGACACACCTTCATGTCTTAAAGTAATGATGGACTGTCGTTTCTCTTTTGCTTATTTGAGCTGTTCTTGCCATAATATGGACTTCGGGCTTGTACCAAATAGGGCTGTCTTCTGTATACCCCCCCCCCCCCCCCCACCCCACCCCACCATGTCACAACACAACTGATTGGCTCAAACGCATTAAGGAAAGTAATTCCACAAATTAACAAGGCACACCTGTTTCAAGGTGACTACCTCATTCAAGGTGACTACCTCATGAAGCTGGTTGAGAGAATGCCAAGGGTGTGCAAAGCTGTCATCAAGGGAAAGGGTGGATATTTGAAGAATCTCAAATATAAAATCTTTGTTTAACACTTTTTTGGTAACCACATGATTCTATATGTGTTATTTCATAGTGTTGATGTCTTCGCTATTATTCTACAATGTAAAAAATAGTCAAACCTTTGAACTTTTGACTGGTAGTGTATGCCTCATCATAATTCTATCTTGGACATGCACTGTCAACTGTGGGACTTTATATAGACAGGTGTGTGCCTTTCTAAATCATGTCCACAGGTGGACTCCAATCAAGTTGTAGAGACAGCTCAAGGATGATCAAAGGAAATTGGATGCACCAGAGATCAATTTGGAGTGTCATAGCAAAGCAGTGTGAATACTTATGTAAATGAGATATTTCTGTATTTCATTATCAATACATTTGCTAAGAATTCTAAAAACATGTTTTCACTTTGTCATTATGGGGTATAGTGTGTAGATGGGTGGGAGAAAAAAATTAATGTAATCTATTTTGAATTCAGGCTGTAACACAAAATGTGGAATAAGTCAAGGGGTATGAATACTTTCTGAAGGCACTGTATGTTCCATGACATGTAGGTTTTGTGAAATGTCACTATTTTCATGGCAGCTGACATCTCCTCCAAGCTCTACAAAGGCTACAAGCATGAACTGACTCTGAAGCAGGCCATTCTTCAGGAACTAGCTCACACAACTAACACAGACCTCTCAATGGTGCACCTCTCCTGCTGGCTGTAACAGCCGTACATAGACAACAGTGCAAAGCTACTGTTAGAGGTTCTTATTTCAGAGACAGGGCATCGACCAATCTAACAAACATCAGTTGGAACATTCTTTTCATATTTGAATGGGATTCTATTCTGTGTATGGACTTGTAAGTACCGTAGCCATACAAATACTGTATGGACATTACAAAGGAACTCACATGCACTGAATGAAGCACAGCAATGCTGGTGGTTTCAACTCTGTTAAATAAAATAATGATTTGTTCTCACATCCTTTATTAAGAGGAAAATGAGCTAAACTGTACAGCATATGAAATGGTTGTACTGCAATAATGAATCACAACAAATGAAACATGGAAATGAATAAAACCACAACTTTAACATTTATCTTTTTAAGTTTCCCCTCCATTGAATCAATTTCCCATGGTATTACAAACCTATTTTATGTTTGGAAAATGTTACGCCCAAATATATAAAAAGTAATAAAATAGTGCAACTTTTTTTAAACTGCTTTTGATATTTATCTACATATAAACATATCACAAACAACTAAACACTTTTTAAAGGAAGGGCTATTAATTTGTCGAAATATGAAAACACCACATCGAAAAGAATGTTTACAAATTCATAAAGAACACTTGGAATACAATAAAAATCCACCAGATGGAAAAAATCTATATGGGGGATGTTGAGAGGGTCGGATATGGAGAAACAACAAATCACTGCTGTGTTTTCCCCTCAGCCTCAATACCAAGCAGGGCATGGACTGCTTCCAGAGGGACTCCTTCAGGGGCGCGGATGTGCATGGTGGTGCCGTCAGGCCCGTTGACAATGACAATGCGCTCAGAGGCCATGTCGCCCTCCTGGCCCTCTGCTAGGTGCATGGTGAGCCCCTCGGTCTGGATGTAGATCTCCTGGCCTTCCTGGCTGCCCTGGGCCTCCTGAACCACCACCTGGCCTCCGCTGGAGGTGGAGACAGCCTGGGTCAGGCCGCTCTGCTGGACTAGGGTACTGTCGGGCTGATGCGGCTGAGTGCTACTACTCCTGGGCTGCTGATCTACTGGGACTGGGTCTGTGGCCAAGGCCTTCTCTAACTCTTTCATCTGATCTGCTATGTCAGTGGTGCTCAGGACCTCGGTTGGTTCCGTACCAGACGCACCCTGACCTGTCTCCATGGCCTCCTCTCCTCCCACTGAGCCAACCGTCTCTGTCATGCTGTTGGATAAGTGATCCTGGATCAGTTCCATGGGTGTTACGTTCATCTCTGGGTTAGATGAGACGACCTGTGGTTTGACAATAGCAGTCTGAGTGGCTTGAGGGCCCGCGGGGCTCTTGGTGGGTGCCTGAGTTTGTTGTAAAATGTCCTTCATGCTTGTTGTTGCGGTGTTCTCTACTTTGGCCTCACTGGATTCTGAGAGTGAGAGTATACAGGGAAATGAAAGCAGAATACAATTAGTGATTTTCCATGATTTCTTCCATGTTCTGGTTTGGACACCTAGCAGATACCTATCCACAGGTTGATAGTAGGTAAAAAATACAACATACCTTTTTTGGAAGTCTCAATGCCATTCTGATGGATTTGAACACCAGCCCGGTTTTCCATTTTAAATCTCTTCGTTGGAGGTAACATTTTAGAATTCTAGGTAAAAAAAATAACAAACAGACTATCATCAACCTAACAATTACCTTTAAATCTTAGCATCTCATAACAATTCATTACTATGAAAAAAATCCATAACAGCAAGAGTAACAGCCTAATTCCATAACAGCAAGAGTAGAGTTAAAGTGTGCGGTCTAAATTAAATGGTGCTTACCTCCATGTAGCGGACATTCTTGGTTGCCATGTTGGTGACATTCTGCTGCGTTGGAGGGTTCAGGACTTTCAACTTGTTCACCTCATCGAAGATGCCAAGAGATTTGGCAACCTAAGCGACAGGACATACATTATGAACAATTTTACTCTGTACATTATGTTTCCGAGACTGAATACATTTGTTCAATGCATTTGAATACGTTTCAACTCCCAGTGTATTATGCGTGGAGGATCTTTATTTGTAATCTGGCTATGACGTTATTAATTCCCCCCAAATTGATAAAGTTTTATTGAATTGAATAATATAGATATACTTCTTACCTCTACATTGTGGACCTCCAAGGCCGTGTGGACACCCTGAGGGTTACTGATATAGTCCTGGGCCATCTTCTTCACCTGGCTGTGGAGCTGCTCAAACTCTCGGTACACATCCGAAAACTGGGTTTTGGGTTGCCGCCCCTTCTCCACCTGAGGGTTAATGGGATACAATTATTCAGTAAACGACAAACTGCAACTGTGTCTTATTCTATATTTGCCTGTTGCTAAAAAGTATGATAAAGTGCATTCAAACATTGTGTCGCAAAAACAATTATTGTGTAAGTTGTTTTATTGGCGTGCAACTGTTTGTTCAGGTGGTTAGCGTGGTGACCTTACCTTCATCAAGAGGAACTCCCAGACAGTCATGACCTTAGCCAGACGAGGGAGCACAGTCTCCATCAGTTCTTCATTATCACACTCGTGTGTCACCTAGCAAGGGAACAAGTGACAGACAGTCAAACAACTTATGGTGTTCAGAGATTCATGTTATACTCACAGCATTGCTAAATACTCATGTGTTTTGCATTATAACAACAATGTTTTTTTGTATATTTAAACACTTGTTTTTAACTTCGTGTAGAAACATTCCTAGCAGCAACCGTTTGTTGGAAGTGTTCTGACTCCTAATTTGATGTACCTCTTTGAGCCGTGCTTTCCTTCTCTGGGCCTGCTGCTCCACACTGGCTACTCCCCCTCCTAGCTTTGGGGGTCGGCCCCGACGCCCCCGTCTCACTGCTGGATGTGCTGCCACGATCGGCAGGCCTTTGGTAGGTGGTCTGCCCCGTCCTCTGGGCCTCCCTGGTCCCCGAGCCTGGACCACTGCCTGTCTGGTAGAAGCTGCTACTCCTTGGGCTGCCGTGGTATCCACCTGTGAAGGTACAATCTGTAAAAACATTATGGACTGGTTTCCCAGACACAGATTAAGCCTAGTCATGGGCTAAAAAGCTATTTCAATGGAGATTCTCCATTGTGCTTGATTTTTTGTCCCAGACAAGGCTTAATCTGTGTCCGGGAAACCAGCACTATAACAGACAGACATCACCATAATATTAGCTTTCGGCTAAATTAGCTGCAGGTCGTCAACATTCCAATGGTATTCGTTTGTCAACATTTGATTAGACAAGGTAACTTTCGAGCAACTTACTTTTTGTTGCGTGGTTGAAGTTGCAGCAGCTGTTTCCTCTGTGGCATCACTTTTCTCAGGACCTGATGTATTTTTAACACTGCTGGCATTACTCTCTTCAGTCGGCTTCTTTTGTTCGGCCCCAGCGCCTGCGCTCTTACCAGGGCTTTCCGTTTTAGGGGTCCCTTCAGGAGTGGACTTCAGTTCACCGTGAGAGGGATTCAGCCTGTAGTGTCTGGACAGACCTCCGTGGCCTATGTAAGCCTTATCGCACGTTTCACATTGAAAGGCCTTCCGCTTGTGACTGTAACTCATAGATGATGCTCCCTTTTTACTATCCTCGCCATCCTCATCTTCCTCCACACTGATCTCAGAGTAATCGTCAGAATCTGACTGATGGCTCTCAGCCAAATCCTCTGTCTTGATGAACTTATAGTCCTTCACCTTGTACTTGGGCGGTCTGGACACCCTCCCAGAACGCGTTTTGATATTCGGTGCCTTCTTCACTCTGGTTTTGACCCTTTTTACTTTTTCCACTGTGGAGGCTGAGACAGAGACAGATGTGGTGGCAGGTTTAACTGCTGTGCCATTGACCGGGGCCTTACCAGAAGGCTGCTGGACAGGGGTCTGAACAGGCATGGGCAGTTTGTGCACAATGGGAACCAGGCTGCCAACCAAGGGGGTTGAACTCTGCAGAAGCAGCTGAATGGGAGGGTCTCCAGGGTTCTGCTGTAGGAAGTACTGTTGCTGTCCAACCATGGGTGTGATGTGGATGATCTGGGGGCTGCTGCTCACACTGCCGTTTGTAGACACTTTGACCTGTTGGCCTTGACTCCTCACAGCCAAATTCTTCTGTTGGGGGATTGAAATGGTAGCCTGCGTAGGTCCTTTCACCTCCTGCTTTCCAGAGGGCATCTGGACTTGGATTCGGATGGTTTCCTGCTGGTAAAATATAAACAATACTAATGTCAGTGGCGGTCATAATTAATGGATAGTAGATTTCATACAGCTGATAAAGTGCCATGATCAAATGTTAGCTTTTTTTCTCATCAAACATAGAATTTCACAATTGAGCGTATTAAATATCAGTGAAAGTCGCATGAGCAATAATTTAATAGAATAAACTAATCAAAAAAGTAGTTACCTTTTTCGGGACCAGGTGCGTACCATTGTGGGACTGAAGTGCCACTTGTTTCGCAACCTTCTTCAGCTGCTGTGATGCATTCTGCATAGTGACCAGTGGATGTGGGCTTGCTACTGCAATCTCTGAAGCTGCAACAGTCGTGAACAAGCCAGTTGTGGGGTCCAGAGTGGTCACAACCTGCTCCGATTCCTTGGGTGTCTGGGCCATGGATTGCTGAGATTTGATCACTTGCTCTAGCACTTGTTGCAGTTCATTGGGAGCCAGTGCTGTACTGGGAATGGTATACTGTGTCTGTGATGAAGTAGTAGGGAGTGTTTTGATGACTTGATTTTGTTCAAACAGGCGAACAGCCTCACTCTCCGTCACTGTGACAAGCTGCTGTTTGGCCAACTGCTCCACTAGCTGTTGCTGCTCCTCTGCAGTCAGACCTGATCCCTCAACAAAACTACCGTCTGGTTGCACATAAATAATGGTGGTTCCAGGTGCAAGAGCGTTTACAAAGTCAGCACTGACTGTAGAATACTCTGCACCAGTTGCAATACCTGAAGTCTCAACAATAGACGTTATGTTTTGTTCAGGTTGTTGTTCATTTTCCTCAGTTTGGCTGACAACCACTTGGGAGTCCTTTGCAACGAATGTCTCCTCTTCTGTGCAGCTTTGCAGAAAATCTGTCAAGCCTTGCGCTTCAATACATTTCTCGCCGACTTGGTTCTCGTTTTCCAATTCTGTAGGGGTTTCATTTACTTGCAATCCAGAAACACATTGAACTTGATATATCGTACCATGATCTGCCCCTGTTGTTGTACTTGACACATCACTCTCATCCTCGTTGTCCGCCATTTTGACTGTAGCAGGCTAGCTAGCTAGCTAGATATTCATGTAGAATCCCCCGAACCAATCGATAGATTAGGTAACTTGAATTTCGATTTTTTTTTAAATTACAAGCCAATGAGTTTGTAAAAAAAACGACACAGAGGTTACTGCAATGGTAAAAAAATACATATATATTGAGGATATTGTGAAACGGTGCAATCATTAAACGCTACAGAAGGTAGCTAACGGCAAAGACAGACGTGAGCAAAGAGTGGCTACTGCTAGCATTTTTTTCCTCCAGCGTATGTCATTTCCGTAGCCGGTCATTTTCTTCTTCGGTGGGGTTTATCCGCAGTTGGCATCCAACGTTATGGTGCATTACCGCCACATACTGTAGTTGAGTGTGGGCCAGAGACTGGAAGAAACTAAATCCTACCTGCCAGCCCCGTTTCTCTTTAAAAATATAACAAAATATTTTAGACTGTATCTAATGACGTTATACTCAGTATGCTTTTTAAACTCATTTCCTGTATCCCCTTCTCCCTCATACTGGATCTCAGCCTCTCTCTTTCCCTCTCATACTGCCCACACTGTATCAATACATGCTCCACTGTCTCTGTTTCCTGGCAATAATCACACTTTCCTGTCGGATGCTTTCCTATCACACCTCCTCTCTTCTGTCTCTTCCTGCCGTCTTCCCTTTGTACTTGGAATAGATGCCTGCCCTTAGGGTTTCTATTCCACTGCTCCTGCCATCTCTGCACCACCACTGTCCATATCAGGCTTTTTTTTATTTGCCTTGCTCATTGAAAGTACAACATCCACATCCCCCACTACTAAGTGCTTGTTTAGCCAGTAGATCAGCTGCCGAGTTCCCCTCCAACCCCAAATGGGCTGGGACCCAAGTAAATATTGTCTGAATATCCCATCTGTCTAACCTTGACATGGGTTTGTAGTACCTCATACCGCAGGTCTTGTCTGCTACGTGAGCTAAAGGACTGCAGACTCATCAACACTGCACATGTATGGAACGTGGTTTGGGTCGTTGCGTGTCAAAAAAGATACACGTCAAATAACACTATTTGACGTGTCAACTAAGCTTTTAATTTGACACGTCAAATAACACAATTCTATTATAGAATGTTGTGCGCGCTGAATTTGCACGTGCAAGCCAAGCGCCATCATTACGATCACTGTCAAAGCTGTACAATACTGCGTTGGTAAAAGGCATTATTTGTTCGACCGAATGAGAAAACGTCTGTGTGATCATCTGAAATTAGATCAGGATCAAACGAGCAGGATCAAAAATGTTTGCAAATATCTTTCATACAGATGTTATTAGCAACGTCTGGGATAGCTAGCTAGCACCAGCCGGAAAACAATGACAAATAGAAACTGCTGTCATTTGAAATATTCTTAGCAATGATTTAGGAATCCATGTGAGTAAGTATTAGCTAGGTAGCCACTTGTTGTTCTCCTACTGAAATAACTAGCGAGCCTGCTACTTAACCGTGTTGCCCAAAACTAACGTTATAAGTAGCCAGCTAGCTTCATCTGGCTAGTATGGCTTGACCGGACCGGGTTATGTGTTGTGATTAAGGATTAGCCACAATAGTGTTATTTGACGTGTATCTTTTTTGACACGCAAAGACCCAAACGGCGTTCGATATTTCTGTGTTGTTGTTAGCAAAAATCTACTTATAAGTGCATTTCATGTATTGAAATATGCTCAGCAATGCTGGAGGTGTACTGTAGGCCTACATTTCAATAACAAATCATGAGCCGACAGCTAAAAGCCTGAACAACCAGAGGAATTTGATCCAACCATAGAGATAGATAGAAGACTAGTGCCCAAAAGCCAGTTTTAGCATGGGCAGCGTCATTGAGGACTTTCACCATTTTGAAGTAGTCAACTGGGTGGGACATGGTTTAAGGAAGCATCACATAATTTCATCCAGGTCACAAGGAGAGATCACCAAATTAATTATACTCGTGAGGATACATTCCACAACTGCAGGTGGCAGTAAATCGCCAACATTGGCTTTATACCTGTTCAAACTGGCAGTGTGCACCCTGTCAGTTAGTTTGCCAATTCATAGAAGTAGTAGAATAAGAAAGTTGACTACTTCTTCAAAATGGGCATCCCTAAAAACACGCCACTTCAATACAAGTGACTTTTCGTAGCATTTTCTCTAACCCTAATCGTAACCGAATTCTCCTAACCTGTTACGAAAAAGTCATAGCTGTATAGAAGTGGTGTGTTTTTAGGGAATCTCACTTCAAAATGGATATGGGCCTCAATGACGCTGCCCGTGGTCTCACGGACGCCATAATGGGACAGCTACAAATAATATGATTATTGTGAATAGTCAGATTAATATAATAGTTGGATTTAAACGTTTACATGCTTTGCAAGAATAATGATTTCCCTAATAATCCTGTTTACATGGACACATCTGAAATCAGGCTACATGCTGGGATTTTGATAAATGCAGAAAATCGCCAATCAAAATAAAGTTTCTACCATTCTGAGTTCGGACATATAAAGTTTGTATGTGAAAACTATTTTTTTTATGCATACTTACAGCTTTTACGAACTCACTTCACTCGCGCAAAAGAAAGAAGCTCGTGCTAGAACATGCGCAGATCAAATCAAATACACCGCTATGTTCCAGTAATTCAAAAAACATTTGCTCAGAAAACCAGTCGTTTTAATCAGCATATGCTTACTTTTTTTTTTTTACCTTACGCGGATGAAGATAAACGGAGTGAGGTGTTTCCATGACTAATGCCATAACCGACCTACTGCCATAATCAGTTTAATATCGAATTATTAGTGTGCATGTCAACGTACGATGCGAGGTGTATCTAAGTCTACAGATCCAACATATCTTTGCTTCATCTATTCTATTGAAATTTCCCCTGGCACATACACATATGGATGCTGTTCACAGACTGTGTCCATGAATACACATCTATTGGTCATAATAATGAAGGTGCCTTCGACACAACAACAGAGAAAATAAACAATATTGATAAACCTGTCAATAAACTTCTCATCTGGCACAGCAGGCAGCAGTCATGCATCATTTTGTTTTCCCGCGAGACAAGGAACTTGTGTGGTGGGGTTTGTTGACGTCCATACTCCATAGCTCGAGACGGAAACATCAGCATGATAAGAGATGTTCTCGAATAATAATTAATAGAAGTGTGCGACAGCAATGTCGTCAGCTCTCTCTTTTATACATGCTTTTAGCGTAACGTATTTGTCATCTATATGATAACCGGATATAGGGACATAATCGAATGTAAGTCTGTGTAAACTTGTGTTTTGTATTTGTAGCTAGCTAACGTTAGCTAGGCTAGCTAACGTTAGCTAGCTAGCTCGTCATGTCTGAAACGTCAACATTACTGATAACCTGCTGTTGGCCTGGCTGTGCTTTGTCCAAGATCGTTAGCTACCCAATATTTTCGGTTTCAGGCGAATTCATATCGGACCTTCAAGTAATGTCATTGTATCTAGTTAGCTAGCTAGTTAGGGCCGCTATGGAGAGTTACTTGGTAACGTTAGTTTCAGTTGATGTGGAGTTAGCGCTAACTGTGTGTGTGCTAGTTAGTAGTAGAAGCATGGTGTGAAAATTTGACCATTGAGGATAACCACTGCAGCAACTAGCTAGGTACCTATCTAGCCTGGTCCCACACTTTATTTACCTTGGCAAAATATTCTATAATCATTGTATGCCATACATGTCATGTCTATCATTCATGTGTTCCCACATGTTTATGATTACCATGCCTTCTTTTCTTATTCCACAGAGAGCAGAGCATTGCCTGTCCACCATGGCAGCCCAAACCCCTTTACAGAGCGCCTTAAGGGAGTTCTGTCCCCTGTACTACCTGCTCAATGCAATACCTGCCAAGGTCCAGAAAGGCTTCCGCTCCGTAGTGGTCTACCTGACTGCTCTGGACACCAACAGCGATTACATTGCTGTGGGGAGCAGTATTGGGATGCTCTACCTGTACTGCAGGCGAGTCAGCCTGATGAACAAGTACAACATAGAGGTGAGTGTCACTTTTTCATGCATTGCTTATTTTATTAAATTATTTTGCACTTTCACCCTAAACCAAATTTGATAACAAACATACAATTATTACTGATTCTTTGAACAAAGTTTTTTTTGCCCCCAGTAAGTAAGTTTGTCATTATGTTTAACTGTTAACATGTTATTGTATCTTCCCAGGGGAAATCTGACGCTATCACAACAGTGAAGCTGCTCAGTTGTTTTGATGACTTGGTGGCAGTGGGCACAGCATCTGGTCGGGTTGCTGTCTTTCAACTTGTGTCTCAACTTCCAGGCAGGAATAAACAGGTATGCCAACCAATCAATCAACTGATCTGTTGATACGAGTAAAGATAGTGTCATGTTTTGAGCTTTGTTTTTTATTTTATTTTATTCCCTTTTAAAATGGAAAGGTGCGAACTTAGCACATGCTCTGCTCTAGTGTGTGTGTGTGTGTGGTGTGTATCCGAGAGGTTCGGAAAAAAAACACAAGACACATTTCCATCTCATGTGGACTAAAGTATATCTTATTATCATATTATGCAAGTGCTTAGTAAATGTATCCCTTTGTGTAGCGAAACACTTAGGTCTCTCTCTTTTCTGTAGCTAAGGCGATTCGATGTGGTCGGTTTGCATAAAAGCACAGTCACTGCCTTGGCCTGGAGTGCCAATGGAATGAAGCTTTTCTCTGGTGATGACAAAGGAAAGGTTGTGTACTCTGCTGTGGACCTGGATCAGGTATAGCAACTTTCATTCTTTCAGTTATGTGCTGTTTGTTTTCTAACCAACTTCTCTCACATATGTGTTGTACCCTTATACTCTCAGGGTGTATGTAACCCAATATTGCGGTTGGAGCTTTGACTTGTGTTGTATCCTCATATCCTTAGGGTGTGTGTAACCCAGTGCTGCTGTTTGAGGAGACCTCAGCCATAGTCCAGCTGGAGTACAGTCAGAAAGTCCTGCTCATCTCCTCTCATCAGAGATCCTTGCTCTTCAACACCCAGGAGCAGGCCCTGCAGCAGCTGGGCACCAAGCCTAGGAAGAGGTAGCCTACATGTTGCACTTATTCATTAAATGTAACACAACTTATACATCAGTGACTTTTCAGCAACAAATCAATTATGTCCCCTTCAGACAATTTATTGAGACATTTCAATTTTCTCAGTTGAGCATCTTCATATTTTTCTGATATATTAAACCAGAGAGGAATAGACAGAGCAATATAATCTAAGCTCTGAAGCTATGTGTATATCTTATATATTTCTCTTGCATTATTATTTTCCTCGAAGCAATGGGAAGTTTGGTGCATGCTTCCAGCCAGGCCTGTGTAAGCAGAGTGACCTGCTGGTCTATGCAGCGAGACCTGGCCTTCGGTTGTGGCGGACGGACGTGCGAGGACTGGTGGAGGACACACGGGTCCTGAAGCCTCTGTTCAACCAGCAGGTGCCCCAGTTTGAGCTGTTCCCCAGGTCGGCCCCCACGGGGGGCTACCGACCCCAGGAGAGGCAGCTGGGCCTGGTGAGCTGCTTCCTCAGAGAGGGCTGGGTCCTCAGCTGGAATGAATACAGTGTCTACGTGTTGGACTGCCTCAACCAGGTAAAGATACCCTCAGGCAGGAATGGATACTAAACTAATAATACATGGATTTTATTTAGCGCTTGTTACAATGTTTTGTTAGAGAGTAATAGCGAGAGGTGGTTAGAGGTGTATCAGTTGAGACTGCAGAGAATGTAGTAATTTAAGCCATCTTAAATTTGATTGCCTCAACCACAAGGTAATCAAGTGTGGATTGCATGTGTTACAAATTATATTTTGATGGAGAATAATAAAAGATAGGTAAGTGAATCAGCTGAGAGAATACAGGTACTGGTAATTGAAGTCATCTTTGTGTCCTGCCAGTGTTATCTTAAGGGTTGCACACATCGCACCGAATGTGGATCTCCCGTTGACGTCTGACTGCCGACATTTTCGTGAGATTCTACATGTAAAATCGTTTTTCACTCGGTTCACAAGTAGTCTCGGCAGGCAAACGCTAATGGTGTGTTCGAGCCCTTACAAGAAGTCGATCTGTCAATGTTATTTTGTCTTTGACTTTCAAGGTGATCATCGGTGCGCTGGAAAGCTGCGGGGACATTGTCTCTGTATCATGCACTGAAAATGAGATCTTCATCTTGAAAGGAGATCGAGACATCGTTCGCATCTCCAATACTCCCGAGGGCCTGGCTTCCAACAGTAAGATGGTCATATTGTATTTTGTTTGTTTGAATACATTGAAACCACTGGACTACAGTTCAAACCAACCAGATGGTGGAAAGAGAGACAATCATGATCGCCAGATAACACTTTCTTTAGTCCTAGACTTTCACTTTAATTTCTTGTATCTCTATAGTCTTTCTCTGATAAGTCTTCTCTTAACCTTCTTCCTGTCCAGTTTCTGAGTTGTCCCTCCGTCTGACCTCTCCCCTGACCACTCCCACCATCCTGCTCCCCCCCACCGGCTCCGTGGAGACAGCCCAGCCTATCAGGACCATTGCCATCATCACAGAGCAGGGGGAGAGGGAGAGGCTGGTGGATGAGGAGGAGGTGGAAGAGGTGGAAGAGGTCCTAGAGCAGGACCAGCTGAGTGACAACCCCGAGGCGGGGGAGGCCGGAGCCCTGGTGGAGAGGCCTGAAGTGGGGGAGCGACTGGGCCACCAGAGATGGAGCAGTGTAGGGGGCACCAGTGAGTCTCGTAGCCGCAGCAGCTCCATCACATCTTGGGATAGCGTTCAGGGCACGATGCTCTCCACCACCACGGAGCAATCGGACCTCTCCTCCAGCCGCTATAGTGCCATAAATCAGGAGGACTTCCAGCAGGAGCTGGTGGTCAAGGCCATCAAAGTCAAGAAGAAGGCCAAGAGGAGGAGACAAGGTGAGTTGCAGTAGTGACTGATTTGATAAGGCTCTGATTTTCAACAAAGGGTCAAGAAAACTTTCAGATCTAGTGTTCTTTGCTCTGGTTGATGACAAAATGTTCCAAAACGGCTCCAAATTGCATTTTAATAGCTTTAAAAACGTTCATTGCTTGTCTTATAATGACCTTTCCCATATGAGTCAGGATTCAATACATTAGTGTCAACTTAATTGCTGCTATGTTCTCCCTCTCTCTCTCTTTTTCACTCTACAGAAAGTGGAAACCGCATATGTGAGCAGCACAACAGCTGGTCTGAGAGCATTTGCAGTCGGGATGGAGGAGGGGGCAGCGACGGGGGTGCCAGCACCCCTATGAGTGAGCCCCCATCCGCCTCCGACCACACCAGTCTCCTGTGCAGCAGTCTGGACCTACAGAGCAGGAGCAGTGGATCCCCAGACCAGGAGGGATCCATCAGTGGAGGTTCCCCAGAACTAAATACCTCTGGAGCTCAGAGCCAGGGTGGTGGCCAGGGACAAGACCCTCTGATTCAGACTCAACCCCCTGGGACTCAGCCTCCCTCCTGCCCCGCGTCTCTGCCCTTCCAGGACATGGAGTGTCAGTCCTACCCAGAGAACGGCAACGGCCCCTCTGCCACAAACAAACAGGGAGAGGCCCCTACGCCAGACGTAGACCTTCTACTGGAGTGCACCTTTGCCTACATGCAGACCTCAGAGGACCGGGACCCCATTGAGGAGCAGGAGGATGACTTCCTGAGCCCCCTCATTGGGCCGGATGACTCTGAAGACCAGGACGACCCCCAACACCAGCACCGTCTGCTGGATCTGGAACCTCCTAGTTGTGCTGATCAGATGTGTTATTCGCTGGAGCCTGAGCAATGCCCCTCCAGTGACGAGGAGGACATCTACGCTGCCCAGGGAGTCCCGTACTCAGCCTCCAACATCAGCCTTGGAGACGGCCTCAACTCCCTCAACCTCCAGGGCTCCAACATCGGCCAGCAGGACCAAGACAAGACCGTAATAGAACACACATGTTGTGTGTTGGTTCGGCTTCCTTCCTCAGTGTTTGTGCTGCTACAGTACATTGCATTCAGTTTCATTCTGACACTATATGACTAGTAGTGTCACATCAAAATAGAAGCATTGACTCATTTGATTGTTGTAACACGGTTGGATAGTCTTCACCGTAGAATGCTATTCAATACCAACAGTTCTGTGCCTGGTTTAACCCTCTCTCCTCTCGTCTCCTCTGTAGTTGGCAGAGAGCTGGATGGGCTACACAGGGCCAGGCTGTGGCATCCTGAACCTGGTGGTGACTGACCGATACATCTGGTGCCTGGACTTTAAAGGAGGCCTGTACTGCAGTGCCCTTCCAGATGGGGGGCTGAGCTGGCAGAAGTTTGAGGAGAACGTGCAGCAGGTGGCACTGTCACCTTCAGGTGAGGATGTCTATAATATGATCATTTAGCTCCAGACGCGTTTATTCACAGTGACTCTGTCTATTATGCGGAATAGATAGAAGGTATTGTGGTTCCTGGTCTACATTGTTGTTGCCTCTATTTGAGATGAGCATTCAATGTATTGATCCTTTGGGGGAGTTGATAAGTTCATTACCCAAGATTTCTCCTTTGGATGTAAATACTAGTGGTTTGTCCTGGCTGTTACATTGAAGTCTGATTTCATTTCAGGGTCCCTGCTATGGAAAGTGGAACAGAAGACCATGACAGCGTATGCATGTGGTAAGGTCACCATCAAAGGCAAGAGGCACTGGTACAAAGCCCTGGAGGATTCTGCCTTTGTGGCGCTTAGTGAAGACACAGCCTGGATCATTCGTGCTAGCGGAGACCTTTACCTGCAGACAGGTGAGATAGAGTTAACCACAGGGAAGGAGTTTGTGACTATGTACACTATACTCATGAGGCTTGTTCTTCTTAACTATCTGCTTTAAGAATTAGATGACTTTATTGGTCAAACCACTTTACACACAAGGTTCAACTGAAATTTGACTTCCTCTTTGAACCCAACCCTTCCGAAAGACACACATACATCTTTTTGGAGAGGTGCGGTGAGCTACCACGCTGGGCGCCCGGGGGGGTTACAACGGCAGGCAACAATGGCATTTGATACCAGCAACCCTCCAGTTGCCAGCTCACCTCCCAACAGATTATTCCAATCGAACCCAGGATTCGAGCTTGCAATCCTCCGCTTGCTGTCTTGCCTCTCTAACCGCTAGGCTACCTGCCACCCCCTTGCTCATTCCACTATGGAGTAGAGATGAAGAGACTTACTAGATCTGCCACTACATTTAGCAAATTCATTGCTGCATAGAAAAGGTGCTCACAGGAAGTTTCTATAATATGGTTTTTGTGACAAACCATTTTACTTTATTTTAAATGTAATTTGTTAATATAGGCTATTTTGACTATTCAATTCACTCCTCCATTTGAAACAAGACTTCAGGGTTTCAGCAGCAGGTGGCCTCAGGTTATTAAGAATATTACATCTTGACCCTGTTTATTGGCAAAGTCTCAAGCCAGCAAATAAGTTCCTGAAATTAACCAATCGGCCATTAGATGGCGCTGTTCAGGGGCCATAATAAATAGTATCATACGTCACTGGCTAAATCAGTTTAGAGGTAATCATAATGCTGTATAGATGCCATATTTGGGATGAGAATAATGAGGCCAAATAAATCCCAAACATTACAAAATAATATCTGTCCCTTGTATTATGATGGCTTGTAAACAACACAGCTAAACCTGCTGATCAAGACAAGTAGTATTAATTCCCTGGTTGTGTAAGGATGTTAGTTGTACATAAAGCATGACTCTAGCAGCTGTTCTGACATATCCAGAGCCAACACACACAGAGGCCTGTTCATGAAATTACATGCTGTGTATGTCTATGTCTAATATTCACTTTGGAGACAGACATCAAAGAAATTGAAGATTAGGGATGGGTGGGCATAGTGTTGCTGCAAGCTTGTAATTTTTAGTGGCACATTTAGTTTGAATTAGATATGATCAACTAAGAAACGAATGGGAGACTGCTATACTGCTAATAGTCTAGACTTGGCATGATTAACATTCTGTTTACATACAGACATGCACTCACTCACTCACTCACAAAAACACAACAAATGCAATAACTCACAAACTAAACCCTGACTGTGGTTGTGATCCCGTCCTGCAGGGTTGAGTGTGGACCGTCCATGTGCGCGGGCTGTGAAGGTGGACTGCCCGTGCCCCATGACCCAGATCGCAGCACGGGGCGGTGTGGTGTGGGCCCTCAGCGAACACAGGGCCGTCTTCTACAGAGAAGGCCTCAGCAGCTACTGCTCTGAGGGGGAAATGTGGAAGTACGACAAAATCAGGTAGAACCTTTTCTGTGTCATAGACCCCAGTAACGGTGATAGTTCAGTTCGCTGTGCTTGGTTCTCGTGAAACCCCTAGCAGTTGTCATGTGGTCGTTCCATTGAATTGTAATCCAACAATGACTCTTTCACCTCTTTTGAAAAGAGGAAGGAAGATGTGTGTCATACAGGCCTAGTAACAGTGAAAGTTGAGTTAGTAGTGACTGACCGGGGTTCAAATCCAGCTCTCCAGCGCACCACAAGACTGTGTTAGCCTGAGCTAAAGGGAGCTAATGCACGTCTTCAGGACTCACTCAGGCAATGTTAGCTATGCTTTCTTTGCTAATCATTACATATTTGTGTGTGTGTTTTACCTCCTTCCAAAGTGAGAGTCAAGGTCTGGAGCCCATCTGTATAGCCCTGGGAGAGAAAAACACGGCCTGGGCTCTGGACACCGGCGGCAGTCTGTGGTTCAGGACTGGAGTCACTGCCAAAAAGCCCCAGGGGGACGATGACCACTGGTGGCAGGTTGGTATCCTATTGGACTTGTGTTCAATGTTACTCACACCCATCATTTCCATCAGCCCTCTATTTTGCACTGATCGTTTTTTAAGAATATGTATTTTTTAAGTCAAAGGGGTTGCATTACAGACTTCACCCTGAGATGACTGGCTCACCTTCTAATGCTTATATATTTCTGGCCTTTTGTTCCCTCCCTCCCTCCCTCCCTCCCTTCCTCAGGTGAGCATCACAGACTATGTGGTGTTTGACCAGGGCAGTCTGTTCCAGACTCTGATCCAGGCCACTCAAAACGTGGCCACGGCCACCAAGGCTCCGGTGGAACGGGTAGCGGAGTGCCTCCGCGTGGCCTTCCTGTCCCAGCAGTCCCAGTGCCAGCCTAGCCTGGTCTCCTCCAACACCACTGGCGTCTGGATTGCATCTGGCAGGAACGACTTCCATGTCGCCAAGGGCAGCCTCAGTGGTATGTTATGAGACCTCAATACTTTTGTTAACTCCCCAAGCTAATGCCTATGCTTAAGCTTAGTGGGTTAACAGAGATGCTCAGTCAGGAGGCATTTTAATTGTTGTTTTCTGTGTTGGAATGCAATTTATAGAATGCCCTTTATGACATAACCACATTCCACAGAAACACAACTTCATCAGCTAAGCCTTAAGGCCCGGTTCAAATACAAGATGGTTTTAAGCAGTTTTAGAACAATGTTTTCTTGGTCTGAGTACTGTAGTTTTAGAACGTCTCATGTCGGTTGCTGGAATTTCCAATATTCAACATGTAAAATCTTAGCAAAAGACTTGAGACGAGACGGGTCCGTTTAAATCCGAGAACAGTGAGCTGACGTTCTGTGTTTAGCCAAGCAGGCTAGCTAGCTATTTTTCTGCAGTTAGAAAGCCTAGCTTGCTGTTATTTCTCTGACAAGTCACAAAGTGTGCCTTGTTTCTGGTGCATGTATTTCATAATACTTGTTTGCTACAACACCGTTTGCTACAATACCGCTTTCTACAGCACCGTTTTCTACAGCACCATTTGCTACGACATCGTTTGCTACAAGAAGTGGCATCTTATTTTTCAAAGTTTCATCACGTCCTTGGAAAGAGGCACCGTTACCGTGGAAACGGTCTTAACTCTGCGCCCTATATTTTTGATCTGAATGCCCCGTCTTTGGTCAGTTATACAACACAAATTTAAAAAACGGGCTAGTTTTGTGTCGTCTTGTCTCCTTATGTTAGCTGTTGTATCTGAACTGGGCTTTAATGCAAAAACTCTTTGCATTTCTTTACTGACACCTTCTCAAAGGTCAAAGTGTGTTAAGGCAGTATGATGGACAGTGACTTTTGTGATAACACTGCAGGATGTTCAGTGTGACATTGATGTTTTGTGACCCCACAGGTACATTCTGGCAGGGTGTGGTACCCAGAGGAACCGTCTCTGCCACGAAGTGGGCCTTCGTCTACTCCTCGGCTTTACTCAGTAAAGAAGGTAGATTGGTGACCACTCTTTTCTTTGTGAACACATAACAACATGATATAACCCCTACCCTCCCTCCACCTTATGGCAACAACCCATCTCAAATAAATGAACAGAAATAAAGAAGACCACTCCTTTGACTTTACATTACATACTGTCGCTGTTGTGTAGTAACATCTGCCCCTGTTATCTGTGTCTCTCTGTGTATTACATCACCAACATGTGACTGTGTTTGTCTCTGTAGGGAGCTTCCTGTGGCTGGGCCAGAGCAGGAAAGACCTGTTCTGTGTTTGGGACCAGGATGGTCAGATGCACCCCACCACAGTCCAGCTGCCCCAGGACATAGAGATGGTGCAGCTCACTGCCTGCCGCGATGCCCTGTGGGGACTGGACCTCCACGGCCGTGTCCACATCCGCACCCTCTCCACCGGCTGCCCCACTGGCATGCACTGGAATCTGCTGGACCTCAGCCAGCTCGGTAAGGCCATACTGTTCACACATGGAAATAAAATTGGTTGCCTCATCAGACAGATCACAAGCTAGGGTAGCTAAGTTTAGGCTAGATGCTAAATGAAAAAATAACTTCGTGATTTTGTTTGCAGCATTGGTGATTTGGTGGCCAGACGGTCAGGTTGATTGCAGTAGTTTTGTGGTATTTCCTTTCTGTTTTGTATGAAAACTATACTGAACAAAAATATAAACGCGACATGTAAAGTGTTGGTCCCATGTTTCATGAGCTGAAATAAAAGATCCCAGGAATTTTCATTAGCACAAAAAGCGTATTTCTCTCAAATGTTGTGCACAAATTTGGTAATTTGTTTACATCCCTGTTAGTGAGCATTTCTCCTTTGCCAAGATAATCCATCCACCTGACAGGTGTGACATATCAAGAAGCTGATTAAACAGCATGATACTTAGTCCCACTGTAACAATATCATTCACAAACATGTTCAAACTTTAAAGTGAAAACCGAACTTGGACACAGGGAGTTGAAATGAGAATGTTGATTGACTCAGATGCAATTAGCAATGTGTGATAGATGAGAATACATGGGAAAGACTGAAGTTAGATAATATGACCCTAAGACAGAGAACAAATTGTATTCGTATTGTTCTAGTGAACCACTATCAGTCAAGGGTACATTCAAAGGTGAAATCACAACCAGCAACATAACTGAGCAAGCAGAGTTCATTGTAATCAAAGGAAATGGAAAACCACTCCTGGGCAAAGATACAGTCATAAAACTGGGGGTTCTGAGAATAGGTGCTGATGTCGCAACAGTGACAGACACCAAGCACTCACTAAAACAGCAGTACCCACAAGTGTGAAAAATGTATGCACTCACTAACTGTAAGTCGCTCTGGATAAGAGCGTCTGCTAAATGACTAAAATGTGAAATGTAATGATCATTACACAGGTGCACCTTGTGCTGTAGACAATAAAAGGCCACTCTAAAATATGCAGTTTTGTCACACAACACAATGCCACAGATGTCTCAACTTTTGAGGGAGCATGCAATTGCCATGCTGACTGCAGGAATGTCCACCAGAGCTGTTGCCAGAGAATTGAATGTTCATTCCTCTACCATAAGCCGCCTCAAACTTAGTTTTAGAGAATTTGGCAGTACGTCCAACTGGCCTCACAACCGCAGATCAGTTTTAACCACGCCAGCCCAGGACCTCCACACCCGTTTTTTCACTTGCGGGATCATCTAAGACCAGCCACCCGGACAGGTGATGAAACTGTGGGTTTGCATAACTGAAGAATTTCTGTACAAACTGTCAGAAACTGTCTCATCTGCGTGCTCGTCATCCTCACCAGGGTCTTGACCTGATTGCAGTTCGGCGTCGTAACCGACTTCTGTGGGCAAATGCTCACCTTCGATGGCCACTGGCACGCTGGAGAAGTTTGGTCTTCACGGATGAATCCCGGTATCAACTACCGGGCAGATGGCAGACAGCGTGTATGGCGCCGTGTGGGCAAGCGGTTTGCTGATGTCAACGTTGTGAACAGAGTACCCCATGGTGGCGGTGGGGTTATGGTATGGGAAGACATAAGCTACAGACAACGAACACAATTGCATTTTATCAATGGCAATTTTAATGCACAGTGATACCGTGACGAGAGCCCATTGTCATGCCATTCATCCGCCGCCATCACCTCATGTTTCAGCATGTCGCAAAGGATCTGTACATAATTCCTGGAAGCTGAAAATGTCCCAGCTCTTGCATGGCCTGCATACACACCAGACATGTCAGTCATTGAGCATGTTTGGAATGCTCTGGATTGACGTGTACGATAGCATTTTCCACTTCCCACCAATATCCATCAACTTCGCACAGCCATTTAAGAGGAGTGGGACAACATTCCACAGGCCACAATCAATAGCCTGATCAACTCTATGCGAAGGAGATGTCGCGCTGCATGAGGCAGATGGCGGTAACATCTTTGATATTGTTGCATTTTGCGTTTGTTTTTGCTCAGTGTAAATGTTTTCCACATTTCATTATACTGTAGTATAACTAAGCCATTTTGTCTGCAGATATTAAAGGAACATTTTATTTTATATACACTACCGTTCAAAAGTTTGGGGTCACTTAGAAATGTCCTTGTTTATCCGAAAGAAGAAAAAAATTGTCCATTTAAAATAAAATACAATTGATCAGAAATACAGTGTAGACATTGTTAATGTTGTAAATGGCTATTGTAGCTGGAAACGGCTGATTTGTAATGAAATATCTACATAGGCGTACAGAGGCCCATTATCAGCAACCATCAGTCCTGTGTTCCAATGCACGTTGTGCTTGCTAATCCAAGTTTATCATTTCAAAAGGCTAATTGACCATTAGAAAACCCTTTTGCAATTATGTTAGCACAGCTGAAAACTGTTGTGCTGATTTAAAGAAGCAATAAAACTGGCCTTTTTGAGACTAGTTGAGTATCTGGAGCATCAGCAATTGTGGGTTCGATTACAGGCTCAAAATGGCCAGAAACAAATAACTTTCTTCTGAAACTCGTCAGTCTATTCTTGTTCTGAGAAATGAAGGCTATTCCATGCGAGAAATTGCCAAGAAACTGAAGATCTCGTACAACGCTGTGTACTACTCCCTTCTCAGAACAGCGCAAACTGGCTCTAACCAGAATAGAAAGTGGAATGGGAGGCTCTGGTGCACAACTGAGCAAGAGGACAAATACATTAGAGTGTCTAGTTTGAGAAACAGGCGCCTCACAGGTCCTCAACTGGCAGCTTCATTAAATAGTACCCGCAAAACACCAGTCTCAACGTCAACAGTGAAGAGGTGACTCCAGGATGCTGACCTTCTAGGCAGAGTTGCAAAGAAAAAGCCATATGTCAGACTGCCCATCTTAATCTTTTATTTTTATTGGCCAGTCTGAGATATGGCTTTTTCTTATCGGCAAGGACTGGGAAACTGGTCAGAATTGAAGGAATGATGGATGGCGCTAAATACAGGGAGATTCTTGAGGGAAACCTGTTTCAGTCTTCCAGAGATTTGAGACTGGGACGGAGGTTCACCTTCCAGCAGGACAATGACCCTAAGCATACTGCTAAATCAACACTCAAGTGGTTTAAGGGGAAACATTGAAATGTCTTGGAATGGTCTAGTCAAAGCCCAGACCTCAATCCAATTGAGAATCTGTGGTATGACTTAAAGATTGCTGTACACCATCGGAACCCATCCAACTTGAAGAATGGGCAAAAATCCCAGTGGCTAGATGTGCCAAGCTTATAGAGACATACCCCAAGAGACTTGCAGCTGTAATTGCTGCAAAAGGTGGCTCTACAAAGTATTGACTTTGGGGGGGGGTGAATAGTTATGCATGCTCAAGTTTTCTGTTTTTTTGTCTTATTTCTTGTTTGTTTCACAATGAAAAATATTTTGCATTTTCAAAGTGGTAGGCATGTTGTGTAAATCAAATGATACAAACCCCCCAAAAATCTATTTTAATTCCAGGTTGTAAGGCAACAAAATCGGAAAAATGCCAAGGGGGGTGAATACTTTCGCAAGCCACTGTATGTAGATATTCCATTAAAAATCAACCGTTTCCAGCTACAATAGCCATTTACAACATTAACAATGTCTACTGTATTTCTGATCAATTTGATGTTATTGTAATGGACTAAAAAATTGATTTTCTTTTGAAAACAAGGACGTGTCTAATTGACCCCAAACTTTTGAACGGTAGTGTATGTAGGCAATAAGCATTCTTAAATAACACCAATTTTTTAAATAGCCATTTCATAACTGATCAGAGCTGAACATCTCAGACTGAACATTCCAAGTCTGACATACATATCTAGCACATGTTGTATGTCTAGTCTGTCAAATGTCAGCCTGTCTTTTGGTGTCAGTTCCGTATAGCTGCATACTTTCACACGTCCATCGTAGTGTCCCCACCAGCTTACGTTTCATGTCCCAGTGGTCGGCAATGGTACTCGCGCCTCCAAACTGCCGTCAGACTCTGACCTAGTTCATGTCTAATTGAGGTTGTCTTTCTAGTCCTAGTCCTAGTTATGCCCCTCAGGAATGCAGGAAGAGCAATAAACTAGCACTCCTGAAGCAGAGGATCTGGATCTAGAGGCATTGTCTTGAGTTGGCTGCTGACACAGATTCAGCAGGCAGGGGCTGCTGGGAGTCTCAGACGTAAAACTGGGGGAGCGAATGACGAGGGAGTTTTAAAAAAATCTATATGTTGGCAGGTGGTACTTACATAAGACTTGTTTTGTAATAAGGTCCTCCTTGAGCAAGATGTCAAAGTTCAGGCCAGGCAGGGAAATGATCAGAGCAATACTGTTCCTCCTGCTACAAGTCAAGACTGACCTGTCAATACTCCATGCTGAAGGAGTGTCTGATAAGTTCACCAAAGAAGACCTTATCTGCTTTGAGGGTGTAATGTTGTTTACATTGCCTTTAGACTTTTTGGATGTACCACGTCTCAAGCAGTAAGCTGACATGTCTGCAGAAAACACATGATTCCAAAGAGATATTAGGTCTATGTATTACTGTCATTTGGCAATGAGTCCCTACCCTCCATTCCTAGAGGTCAGTGTCATTTAAAATCCATGGAAACTAAGTTATCTAACAGCAAATAGATTTTGACCCTTCGATAGATCCACCAGGCACCAGGGACTTGGTAGAAGCCTTAGTGTTTATTGAAGAGGTTCAGGTTGTATATGTTCTGCTGCTGGAAAGTGGCTGCATGCAAATAGACAGCCATGTGACAACAGCAGACAGCTGTAGCCAGGCCGTATTGGGCTGTGTGTGCATCACAATGTAACATGAGAGGGGAGGGAGCTGAGAGTGCACACATTTTTAGCCCTGTTCTGTTAGATCATGTGGTCAATGACACTAAGTCTCTGTGCTAGAACGCTGCACAGGAATCAGGACAGGGACAGAGTGTTTTTGACACCTTTCACAGTTCATTATAGTTCATGAAGGAAGTTTAGAAAGTTATCGCATAATGAAAAGACATTTGTAAGTGAAACTTATTTTATGTAAGACGTTCATTGGGTGTAGAACATT